GCTCACAGGTCTATAATTTCCAGGCAAGGATTTTGAACCCTTTTTGAATATAGGAACCACATCTGCCTTCCTCCAATCCACTTTCTGAAAGAAAAGAATCTTGAAAGATTAAAAACAGAGGTTCACTTATTTCTACACTTAGTTCCTTAAGTACTCGTGGATGAATACCTTCAGGCCCTGGAGCTTTGTTTATATTAACTTTCTTTAGTTTTTGCAGCACCTTGTCTTGAGTTAGCCAATTACAATTTTTCTGCAAGTTTTTAGCAGCAGTTATTAGCACATCTATTGTCATGGGTTCTTCCTTAATATATACGGAGGAGAAATAGTTATTTAAAATTTCTGCATTTTCCTGGTCTTCATTAACTAACACCCCCATTCCAGTTTTTAGTGTCCCTACACTTTATTTTTTTTCATTTTATTAGAATTTATGTACTTAAAGAATGATTTGGGGTTGGTTTTGCTCTCTTTGGCTATCATTTTTTTCATTTTCAAGTTTAGCGAATCTAATCGCCTTTTTGCACCCATTAATGGCTTCCTTATATCTTTTAAAGGATGCATCTGATTTGTCCGATTTAAATGCCTTTTTCTTATTTTTATCTCTTGTTTTACTTCTCTACTAAGCCACATTGGTTTAAATTTGTTTCTTTTATATTTATTACCCAATGGTACATACTGAGAAATGTACCTTTCTAATATTTGTTGGAAGATGTTCCATTTATCCTCAGTGTTCTTTTCACTAAAGAGTTTATGCCAGTCAATATATTGTAAAGCTGCCCTTAACTTAAATTGGCCTTTTAAAAATTATATGTTTTAGTACACCCCATGTGCTTTAGTTTTTTTGAGTTTATTTCAAAGGACACTATATTGTGATCACTATTTCCCAAGTGCTCACCTACTTGTATGTTGGTCAAAAGATCAACGTTGTTTGTTACAACCAGGTCCAGACAAGCATCCTTTCTAGTTGGTGCTTGTACAAGTTGTGACATGAAGGTGTCATTTAATGAGTTCAAAAACCTAATTCCCTTTTCTGAGGCACTAGTCCCTCTGTCCCAATTTATGTCCAGGTAATTAAATCTCCAATAATTAAAGTGTTACCCAGATTTGCAACTTTCTCAATTTGCTCAAACAGCAGTTGTTCCTCGTCAATATTAACCCCTTAAGGACGGAGGGCGTACTATTACGCCCTTCAGGAGCCGGCTCTAAACGCCGGCGGGCGTAATAGTACGCCCTCACTTTAATGGCCGCCCATGTGGCCGGCGCTATTTGCCCGCTGCAGATCACGGTCGGGAGGGATGCCCGGCCCCCCAGGCAACCCCCCCTGTGGCCAGTGACCGCGATCTGCAGTTACTGATCGCAGTGACAGGCTGTCACTGCGATCAGTTTTTTAACGTGTGTCAGCCGATTTCAAATCGGCTGACACACGTGGCCAGCGGCTACCCCGTGCAGATCGCGGTCGGGGGACTTACCTGGCCCCCCAGGCAGTCCCCTTGGGGTCAGTGACCGCGATCTGCTAACTCTGAGATCGCAGTGACAGGCTGTCACTGCGATCTCAGAGCGCTCCGATCGCAGTGACAGCCTGTCACTGCGATCAGTGTTACATTTGTCAGCCTATTGGCTGACACATGTAACTGGCACAAAGATCCCCCTGCAGATTGGAAGGGGGGAGTGCTTGTACCACCCAGGCACTCCCCCCTGTGGCCAATTACCCAATCTGCAGGAGGTGATCACAGTGACAGCCAGTCACTGTGATCACTGATCCTGTGTGTCAGCCAGTGATGTAAAATCACTGGCTGACACTGTCTCTGCCCCCTGTCCTGTAAAAAAAATAAAATATTAGTAAAAAAAAAAAAAAATTACAGTTAAATATAAAATATACTTAGATCATATATATTATATATATGATCATATATATATATATACACACACACACACACACATTTACACATACACGAAGTGTATTTAAATATTAATATATATAATTATTTATATATATATTACTATCAAATTACACGTAGACTAATACTGATTAAATATATATATATAATTATTGTTATATATATATATTTATATATAATATAAAAAAATGTAAATACGTAAAAAAAATAAAATTAAAAAAATAATTAAAAATAAATAATAAAAAAATATATAGATGTTTGTTATTTCGTTCTAACTGTATTGTGATATTAATATATATATATATTTATATCAAAATACACGTAGAACGAAATAATATATATATCTATATACATAAATATATACATATATATCACTAAATATATACACCTATATATAAATAAAAATATTTAAAAAAATTATATATATATATGTATATATACACATATGTATATATATACATATATTAATTCTACACATATATTTATGTAATATTTTTACATAATTAGGTATCCTAATTAATTACAATTAGCGGGACCTGCCTGACAACCCATGCCGAAAGTATAGGGAATTTAATTTGCTAGCACTATATTTAACCCTATAACTTTCCAAGACACCATAAAACCTGTAAATTGGGGGTACTGTTTTACTCGGGAGACTTCGCTGAACACAAATATTAGTGTTTCAAAACAGTAAAATGTATTACAACAATGATATAGCCAGTAAAAGTGAAGTTTTTTGCATTTTTCACGCACAAACAGCACTTACACGGATGATATTATTGCTGCAATACTTTTTACTGTTTTGAAACACAAATATTTGTGTTCAGCGAAGTCTCCCGAGTACAACAGTACCCCTCATGTACAGGTTTTATGGTGTTTTCAAAAGTTACAGCGTCAAATATAAGGCTTGTGTTTCATTTTTTTTCACATTAAAATTCGCCAGATTGGTTACGTTGCCTTTGAGACCCTATGGTAGCCCAAGAATGAAAATTACCCCTATGATGGCATACCATTTGCAATAGTAGACAACCCAAGGTATTGCAAACAGGGTATGTCCAGTCTTTTTTAGTAGCCACTTAGTCACAAACACTGGCCAAAATTGGCGTTTTTTTGCATTTTTCACACAAACAGATACTAACGCTAACTTTGGCCAGTGTTTGTGACCAAATGGCTACTAAAAAAGACTGGACATACCCCATTTGCAATACCTTGGGTTGTCTACTATTGCAAATGGTATGCCATTATGGGTGTAAATTTCATTCCGGGCTACTATAAAGTCCCAAAGGCAACGTAACCAATCTGGCGAATTTCAATTTCAAATGTAACGTGCTATATTTGACCCTGTAACTTCCCAAAACGCCATAAAACCTGTACATAGGGGTACTGTCTTACACGTGAGACTTTACTGAATACAAATATGTGTATTTTATTGCAGTAAAAGCAAACAGTATTATGACACTGACCTTTAAAATGTCATGTAGAACTAAAAAAATCAAAAAAAATCGTATTTTCTCCCATTTTTTTCATATTAAATTATGTTTCATAGCTAAATATTTGATATTAAATGAAAGCCCTGTTTCCCCTGAATAAAATGATATATAATAAGGGTGGGTGCATTTACTATGAAAGAGGTGTATTACGGTTGGACAGACATGTAGCGCAAATGCCAGGTTTTGTTTACATTTTGATTCGTTCACAACGTGTACATTTGGCTCCGTCCTTAAGGGGTTAACATTAGGTGGTTTATAACACATCCCAACCAATAGTTGATTTCCCTTCCTTTTCCCCTAGCAGATATTTACCCATAAAGCTTCCAACAGTAATAAAATGAATAGTTAAATGTTAGGTTAAGTGATATCAGCCAACCAACTTAAAGGACCACTATAGGCACCCAGACCACTTCAGCTTAATGAAGTGGTCTGGGTGCCTGGTCCAGCTAGGGTTAACCCTTTTTTTTTTTTTTTATAAAGATAGCAGTTTCAGAGAAACTGCTATGTTTATAATAGGGTTAATCCAGCCTCTAGAGCCTCTAGTGGCTGTCTCATTGACAGTCGCTAGAGGCGCTTGCGTGCTTCTCACTGTGAAAATCACAGTGAGAAGACGCCAGCGTCCATAAGAAAGCATTGTAAATGCTTTCCTATGAACTGGCTGAATACGTGCGTGGCTCCTGCCGCGCATGCGCATTCAGCCGATGACGTCGCTATGAAGGAGGAGAGGAGGAGGAGAGCTCCCCGCCCGGCGCTGGAGAAATGTAAGATTTTAACCCCTTCCTCTCCCCAGAGTCTGGCGGGAGGGGGTCCCTGAGGGTGGGGGCACCCTCAGGGCACTATAGTGCCAGGAAAACGAGTATGTTTTCCTGGCACTATAGTGGTCCTTTAATGAGTTTGTGAAACCTTTTTTTTTTTTTTTAGTAACAGTAACTATAACATTCAAACACCACAACCAGTGTAAAGAATGCCAAAATACATACCTTCACCTATGAGATGAGTGGGATGCATTGTTTTATAAAAATCCATCTGACTGATTTGCCAAAGGTCATCGAAGGGCCATATAACTACACTAACCCTCTTACACACATATTTAAAATGCTAACTTGTGCAGCTGATTCAAGACCACAATCTATTTTAAATTTTCATGTTCTAAAAGTAACACGATCACAAAAGTAAATCACCAGTCTTTAAGCATGTTCACTGATTACAGGGGGATAAACTTCAAATGCAAAATGTATTAGAAGGAGCAATGTGTTAAGGGAGTCCCCTAGAACATTCATATTAATGGATCCTGCAATCTCTGGACTGAAAAAGCTTTTTAATTTTACTCATATTCGCTTAAACCGCCAATTTATGTATCAATATTTTATTTGTGCCACGCAAAAGGTTTCACACTTAATTACAGGGACAGGGAATGAGTCTTATAGCTGCCTGAAATTCCCAGATTTTACTATTAACATGACGTAAAGTCATGATTTTATTAAAGACACGGAGGCGAGTATTATGCATATCTCTTTCTTTATTACTCTCAGCAGCAAAGAAATAGAGATAAATAAATAACTGAAAGAACAAAAAAAAATACAGTGCTCAAGTAACCAATCACATAACAGAGGAAGTGACTATAAAATACTTGAAGCACCCACAATCCCCCTCTTTCTTGCGGATAACGAAGACCAAATACAGAACATCCAACTTCGGCTAACGTAGCCAACCGCAGCTCCAATATGGCAAATCATGAAGAATTAAGGCTAAAGGAGACACAGAAAAAGAAAAAGGTAATAACTGGACTCCAACTGTATGTGCATAACTATAATAAATAGTACAGTACGTCAAACTCAAACTCTACACACCCAAATACGGTGAGACAGCTATAAGGAACATAAATGTAACCCCAATATATAGAAAACGTCAGATACAACACATACAATCAAAATGTCTAATAGCGAATATATCATACTTACCCACCATACCAGCTGATGCCCAACCCCAACCGGGTGGGTGGGTGGGAATAATACTCGCCTCCGTGTCTTTAATAAAATCATGACTTTACGTCATGTTAATAGTAAAATCTGGGAATTTTATTAAAGACACGGAGGCTCCTATTATGCAAGTTTAAAGCTTAGAAACCACTTGAGATGCAAAATGGTCAATCGGCCTGAAGTAGAAATCACGAAAGGTCGATTCCCGTGACCAATCCGCCGCACGTAGAATATCTTCTAGGCGGCAGCCCATAGCCGCCGCCTTGGAGGCCATAGCTCCACGGACTGAATGAGGGGTGAATCTGGATGTATCGATCCCGGCCAGAGATAACAATTCCCGAACCCATCTCGCCAACGTAGGTGTAGACACCGGAAGGTGTGGGGTTCGAAGCGAGATGAACAAGGGGCATAGCTCCGGGGATCGCAACGGTCGAGTAACCTCGAGGTAGGCCTGAAGGCATTCGACTGGACAGATAGCCGGGTTTCCCTGGAATCTAGGGTAAACAAACACCTTCGAAGCCGACTTCGTTCTCCTGGATATGTTAAAGGAGATGCCCTCCGGGGTGAACGCAATGGCATTCCAGTCCAGTGCCCGAACATCCGACACCCTCTTGCAAGAGATAAGGCATAGCAACATGACCACCTTCGCTGACAGCTGTTTCAGTGTGAGATCCTGATTTGGATACCAAGCCGACAAGAATTGAAGGACCACATTCACGTCCCAGAAGGCAGTGAATCTCGCACGGGGCGGTCTGGTGAGACGGATCCCCTTGAGCAGTCGGCATACAAAGGGGTGACGTCCTACGGGCGAACCATCCAAGCCTTGGTGTCCGGCTGATATAGCGGATCGGCATAGATTAATGGTGCGGTACGCCTTCCCAGATTCAAACATCTCAGTAAGGAATTCCATGATCACATGTAAAGGGGCAGATATGGGATCCACTGACCGTTCCACGCACCAACTAGACCATATTCTCCAGGCGGATCGGTACGCCACTCGAGTACCTGGTGCCCATGCACTGTCAAGGAGGTCGAGAGTTGATTGCGGAACCCCTGTGATAGACCAGGGTCCCCTGAAAGAGGCCATGCGATCAGGTGTAGGAGGTCGCGCTCCACCAACTCGTGCGAGTTGCCATCCGGATCCCTCAGGAGATTCGGGAAGGTCGGTATCAGGCGTGGGTAATCTGCTGTCAGTTCCAGCAGCCGAGGGAACCAAGGCCGAGACCGCCATAGTGGTGTGATCAGTACCAACGAGCTGCCGTGTTGCGTCAGTTTCGACAGCGTGCGAGCTATCATATTGAACGGGGGAAAAGCGTAGAGCCGAGTCCGTGGCCAGTCTTGAAGGAACGCATCCGTTGCTACTGCCGCCGGGTCCGGTCTCCAACTGAAGAACTTGGGTACTTGCGCGTTGAGACGGGACGCGAAAAGGTCCACGTCGAATGGGCCCCAAATGTGGTCCAGACCCTGGAAGGCCGTAGCGTGCAAGCGCCAATCTCCAGAATCTCTCAAATAGCGTGAGTTCCAATCGGCCGTTGAGTTGTCCAGACCCGGAATATGTTCCGCCTGCACGGAAATGCTGTTGTGAAGGCAAAATTGCCAGAAGTCCTTCGCCATGAGAGCTAACATGCGCGATTTCGTGCCTCCCAGGTGATTGATGTATCGGACCGCTGATACATTGTCCATCTTGAGCATCACGCAACAATTCGCCCGTTCCGGCGTGAGGCTGCGAATAGCGAATGCACCTGCCAATAGTTCCAAGCAGTTGATATGAAGTGTTCATTCCTGATTCGACCATCTGCCTCCGGTAGATGCGGTACCACAACGCGCGCCCCAGCCGTGTAAGCTGGCATCTGACTCTATCACGATGTCCGGGACAGAACCGAATATGGCCCTCCCGTTCCAGGCGTCCATGTGGGCCAGCCACCAGGTCAGCTCGTCTCTGGACTCGTCGTCGAGTCTCACTCTCTGTTCGTAAGAGTGGCCGGCACGTAGGTGAGAGCCTTTTAAGCGTTGAAGGGCCCGGTAATGGAGAGGGCCAGGGAAAATTGCTTGTATTGAGGCGGCCAAGAGGCCGATCACCCTCGCCAGATGTCGGCTAGAGATGTCGTCTGCACGTAGTGTACGTCTGATTTCCTTCTTGATCGCCTTTGTCTTGGATTCCGGAAGGAACAGGAATTGTTGGACGGAGTCCACTGTAAACCCCAGAAATTCCAGTGTTTGGGTGGGGTCTAATACCGACTTCTCCCAATTGATGAGAAAGCCTAGGTTCTGGAGTAAGGACGTAGTCCATGATACATGAATCGTCAGTAATTCTCTTGACTGGGCCATCTGCAAGATGTCGTCCAAATAGATGATCAGGCGTACTCCGCGACTCCGAAGGAAGGATACCACCGGTTTCATGACCTTGGTGAAGCACCAGGGGGCCGAGGAGAGACCGAATGGCAGACAGGTAAACTTCCAGCGCTTTCCCTTCCAGGTGAAATGGAGGAAATCTCTGTGTGCCGAGGTTATAGGCACCGTAAAATAGGTGTCCTTGAGGTCTAGTTTGGCCAACCAGTCGGACTCCTGAAGGAGGTCTCGAAGGCAATGGATGCCCTCCATCTGGAAGTGGCGATATTGGAGAAAAGCATTGAGGGGGCGGAGGTTGATGACCGGACGCACACCCCCACCTTTCTTCGGGACTAGAAACAAGTTGCTTGTAAAGCCCCGCTGAGTAAACGGGACCTCTTGTATTGCACCTTTGGTGCGTAGTTCCACGATCTCCGAAGAGATCAATTCTTCTTGCTCTCGAGCTAGCGAGAGTTCCCTGGGGACAAAAGTTTGAACAGGAAAAGATACAAAATCTATGTGGTAACCCTTCACTGTTTGAAGAACCCAAGCATCTGCTGTCAGGGCCACCCATGCCTCGTAAAACTGGGCCAATCTGCCCGCCACCCGCTCTCCTGTAAGATGGACAAAAGGGGTACTCACCATAAGGGCATCTGCCTGATGAGGCACCTCTCGGGTAGCGGGGATTCCAGGACCTCCCTCTAGATGGGAAGAATGGAGCCGGTCTGGGCTCTTGGAAGTTTCTGGTAGGGAAAAAGGAGCCTCGCTGGGCTCGATACGAACCCCGGAATCCGCGGCCGGGTGGACGGCTCCTGCTGCGCCCGGGCCCTCCAAAAACTCTAGGGGAAAACACCCTCTTCATATTAGCCTGGGCCTTATCAATGGCTGTAAAGGTTTTAACGTAAGACCCCAGGTCTCTTACGAAATTATCTCCAAAGAGCATCCCCTCAGCCGAGGGACCAGGTTCGGAGACGGCCATGGTAGCCAATTTAGGATCAATCTTAAGCAGGATTGCCTTCCTGCGCTCAGCGGAGACGGCCATATTAGCATTGCCTAGTAGGCAGATGGCACGTTGCACCCAACCGATCGCTACGTCAATATCAAGCTCCGCGTCACCCGCCTTGGCGGCTTCCAAAACTTCATAGGCCTTAGACAGAGGGCCAATGGTGTCCATAATCTTGTCCTGACAATGTCTCAGGGAAAAATCAAGGCCCTTCTTTTGCTTCCAGCCTGACTTGTTGAGGAACTGGGCAATTTGAGGATCGACCTCTGGCGTCTTACACGCCGATCCTGGGACCGAAGGTCTAGGACATTCAGCCCGTAGCTTACTGCGACTCTCCCTAGAGAGTGGCGTACGCATCCTAAGTGCGATATATCGGGCGATATGTTCAGGGGGTTCCCACTCAGCGGAGCGAGGATGGCGCAAGTCATCCGGATCAAACAGGGGGTTACCCGGCGGATCCAGAATCCCCGCGTCACCACTCGCCTTCTGGGCAGTAACACCCCCGGCAGGGAAAGCGCCCCCAGTACGGGGTGCTACGGCAGGGGGAGCTCCCTCCTCCGAGCCGGCTTCCTCATCAGAAGCATAGTCAAGTTCCTCATACTCCTCCTCCTCACTCCGGTCGCTCTCCGACCTTTCATCACGGGATCTAGCCCGTTTCCATAACCTGGCCGTTTTTGCCCGACCAGAGGTAATTCCTGATGGAAGTCAGTAACGCGGCCCTCAGGGCCATCACCCTTATCCTGCATGACTACATGAAAGGGGTTAAACAGTAGTAGTAAAAATACGACAATCAGATCTGAAATCAAAATGAAAAAAAAAAAAATGGCAGATAAGTATATAGGAAAAAAAAATGACAGAATTAGGGTTTAATAACCCAAAGGGACAGGAACAGGACAGGGTTAAAGATAGCCACAAGAAAAAGACAGAACAGAAACATAAGTACATGGAAATCAAAAGAGAAACACACAGTAACTGAGATCAAATCATATAAATATATTAATATATAACTATATATACATAAACATAAAAGCAGAATCCTACCCCACAGTGGTGAAACAAGACTGCACAGGACGTCCTCAGGGGATGAGAGGCAACCGGCAGGGGAGTGTGGTCGACGGACACAAGATGGCCGCCGCACGAGAAAGGAGGGAAGCCGGGGGTGGGGGTGGGGGCGCACGCGTGACCACAGCGCGGCCCGACCTGCACACACACCCGGGAGCCGCCGCCTAGGTAAGCGGAGGCTCGTCGGCGTGTAAGCAGGCAAATCCCCGAGACAGGGGAAATCCCCGCGGCCAGCCGCAGAACGCGGTCGGGATGGGAGGGGGCAGGAGGCGGCACTGCCTAACGCGGCCGCGACGGCCCGCCCGGGAGATTACACCACAGGGGTAGAAAAAACATGAAAGTAGAAACACCAGCTCCTAACTAAACTACAAATAAAACTAGGAGCAGACATAAAATATATATAACCATGAAACACAGTATAGGAACAAAAACCCAATAACAACCCAGAACAGAAAAGGTATGTACTTAACTGGTCTGAGAGCAGCAAAGAAAGAGGGGGATTGTGGGTGCTTCAAGTATTTTATAGTCACTTCCTCTGTTATGTGATTGGTTACTTGAGCACTGTATTTTTTTTTGTTCTTTCAGTTATTTATTTATCTCTATTTCTTTGCTGCTGAGAGTAATAAAGAAAGAGATATGCATAATAGGAGCCTCCGTGTCTTTAATAAAATTTTATATTAGCGTGTATAGATTTGGAAATATTGAACAATTGATACATCCTTGCTTTTTGTCTATTGTAGGTACAAAGAGGAGCACTGTTATATATAACAATATAGGTTTACTCTAATGCTCAAATCAAAGGATCACTATTTTTACGTCTGCACAACCTTTCTATTATACTGACAGGTTTACAGACATCTCTTCCCCCCTCCCCCTTTTAATCCCACCAATACAGTAAAACTGCACATTTTAGAGTGGCCTTTTATTGTGGCCAGCCTATGGCATACCTGTGCAATAATCATGCTGTCTAATCAGCATCTTGATATGCCACACCTGTGAGGTGGACGGATTATCTCGGCAAAGGAGAAGTGCTCACTAAGACAGATTTAGACAGATTTGTGAACAATATTTGAGAGAAATAGGCCTTTTGTGTACATAGAAAAAGTCTTGGATCTTTGAGTTCAGCTCATAAAAATGGGGGCAAAAACAAAAGTGTTGCGTTTATAATTTTGTTCAGTGTAAGTAGTTCAGGTTTATTTTTAGTGGACTGTGGATTGCCCCAAATAGTTATTACACATTTGGATATAGTGTACAATCCAACATTATTGTTAAAATCCCTAATGGCAATTTCATGTACAATTATGCCTTAACAAAGCACATTTTAAGCTTTTTGAATTATCCCATATGATTCCGCAGTTGGAAGCACTTTCTCCCTGCTATTATAGATTACTGTTGTGTCATCTGCAATCAGTAATGTTTTTTAGAACTTAGCAATTAATCATAGAGAAATGCCTGTATTTCTGTGTATTAGTTTAATCTATTATCTCTTTTGATGCACATGCCTATGCAACATCCAATCTTAATATAATTATTTCCTACTTTAGGAGCCCCTTATCTGAGCTGGTATTATTATCCTAATTTTTAGAGTCATGTGGATGACAGATCCTAAACCGGGTTGCAGCTGTTCTTACATCCATATCACAGTAAAGGAGGCATTTCATCCAGTGGAGTGCAGTATACAGCTGTTGTTACTAATGTGTGCTTCTGACAGGAGTATTCATCAAGTTTTGTTTTAATTTACACAGTGGAGTGCTCAATTGGTATGAGGTTGTTATTACCAGTATCTATTTCAAAATAAAGAAGACTAATGGAGTTATTCACTAAAGTGAGAATTACATGATTTTGTTATTACATGACGAAAAGCCATGATTTTATTAACGACATGGAGCCGAGTATTGCATATCCCTTTCTTTACTGTCCACCAGTAGCAGCAAAGAATACAAACATAATGAAAAAATAATGTATACATAGTAACATAGGCCTCTCCCAGCCAAGTCCCAGTATAATAGCAGGCACCACCCTAATATCTTCCTCTTTCTTAAAGATACGACACACCATAACAGAAAAAAGTCCGCAAACAGGAAACCAGCAGACCAATCCATCAGCAAACCAAAAAAAATGCAGAATTCCATAACTGTTAACACAGGACCCTTGAATCAAGAACAGGAGACCAGTCCGGAACATCCACGGAACAGCTCCCACCAAGCAACGGTCCTCCCATGTAGATGAAAAGAACATCCAACAGGTCCGGATCAGGCTGTGAAACCTAAAGAACAGGAGCCCAAGGGTTAAATCGGTACTATAGACCAACATCAAAGCCAGAGAACATGTAGACCTTAATTTACATCCCAAAATGCACAACAGCCCATCCCAGAACCCTAAATAGGTATATGCAAAACCAACATGTCATAAATACAATGCCCCACTTACCATACCAACAAGTCCAATCACAAATAACTAGCATCATGGGTGGGAAAAAACATAAAATTATATAGTTCAACAACATATTTCGTATCGGGTGGGACAATACTCGCCTCCATGTCTTTAATAAAATCATGACTTTTCGTCATGTAATAGCAAAATCATGTAATTATATTGCAAGACACGGAAGCTCCTATTGTAAGTTTAAAGCTGATCGACCACCACAGAAAACACATGAGCAATAGGTCAAAAATAAAATTCACAAAACATCGATTCCCATGACCAATTAGCCATCCTCATAAGAGCTTCCAAAAGCACGCTCGATGCCATAATCGAGGAGGCAGAGGCACCCCGAACAGAATATGCTCCAAAAACGGAAATGTCGATACCAGCTTGATCAAAAATCCATTTCAACCATCAAGATACTATAGTGCTTGCTACTGGAGCAAATGGAGGTCGAAAAGACAAGGAAAGTTGGGGTGTAGACGTGGAGCGATGTGGCCTGGACGATCCTCATATGCACGTAAACACGCTACCGGACATATGGCCGGCGTCGAAGGCCAAGCTGGATACGACACCAATCTAATAGAAGTCTAGGTAAGCCTGGAAATATCCAAAGTCACACCCTCTGGGGTATTTGATTTGGCATGGAAATCCAAAGCACAAACATCTGACACCTTTTTGCAAGAGATGAGGCACAAGAGACAAACCAATTTCGCCAATTTTCAATTGGCGTAATGAGAGATCCTGGTTAGAGGGCCAGGCCATGATAAAAGACAGAACAACAGAGATCTCAGGTAGATAAATAACGCGGTCTAGGTGGACGAGAAAGACGAGAACTGCGTAAAAGTCGACATACCAAAGGGTGTTGGCCTGCGGGACACCCATCAAAACCACGGTGGGTCGAAGATATAGCTGACTTGTATAAACTGATCATCCGGTAAGCCCTGCCAGCTTCAAATAGAGAAGTCTGGAACTCCAGAATCAATGTCACAGGATCTGAAATGGGATCCATGCCCCTAGCCAGGCACCAGCTAGCCCAAGCTCGCCAAGCTGACCCATATGACTGCCTAGTTCCAGGAGGCCAAGCGTCTGCCAACCATCGTCGAGTAGTCTCTAAAATTCCCTGGACCTCCCAGGGTCCCCTGAAATCTGCCATACCATGAGAAGGAGGAATTCGTCCACCAATAGAGTGTGACGACCTCCCGCAGGGTCATGAAGCAGGTCTGGGAAAGATGGCAATAGCCTTGGACAGTCCACCGACATCCCCAGATGTTGAGGGAACCACGACTGCATCCCCCAAAGAGGAGCCACCAGCACTAGTTTGGCTTGTTGGCGGCGAACCTGAATGAGGGTGCACGGAATCATGGAGAACGGGGGGGATGCGTACAGGAGATCCCCATGCTAGTCCTCTGCTGTTGGGTCTGGTCTCCAGCTGAAGAACCATGGGAGTTGGGCATTTAGCCATGAGGCGAAGAGGTCAATGACAAAAGGACCCCAGATAGATGATACAGCTGAGAACACCTCCGTGTCCAATTTCCAGTCGCTGTTGTCTGAAAGATAGCATTAACTCTAATCCACCTGGACATTGTGTAGGCACGCTAGATGTTCCGCTTGGAACTCCCAGAATTCTTTCATCAATCTTGCCAGGAATGCCAAATGGGTGCCGCCCATGTGGTTGACATATCTCACCACGGAGATGTTGTCCATGCGGAAGCTCCAAATCGCGAATGAACCCGCCAGAAGTT